AAACAATTTTTTTTTTTTTTCAAAAAAAATTTAGGGCTACAAATCAAAACAAGGCAAGAAACAGAGTTCCAAGTTCACCACCATTTTTCCCAATTCAGATCAATTAATCCCACGGATATACAAGATAGGAATATGAATAAAATTCCCAAGAGATCGAACATCAACATCCCCAGTTAGGAATAATCCTAACTCAGCGATCATTGCCGAATAAATAAAATGATTAGCTTGTTTGACTCTTCAGACTATCAACGTCGATCGTCACACCAGCTATTACTCAGGTAGCTAATCATCAGCTTTCCTAAACGAGCCCAACTCGCTTATACTGCCTCTAGCCTCCTCACTTCGAGATCTCAGAGTGAAGCTTTTCTCGTAAGTGTTTTCAGTCAACAATGTAATACCAAACAGTTAGGTCATGCAGATCACGTAGCCATGCAGAATAAAGGTGAAAACTCATTTTCGAAACATAACACTAGTTTGCAAAAATGGCACATGAGCAACATCATTAAATCAGGTATATTTTGCAGCACATAAACAAAATAAGCATGATTCTAGATATACAAATCCTAAAATATGTAGCTACAAAACATATGAAGAACTTGAAAACAAATAAGGTCATTAAACAAGAGATAAATCAACAAACATTCATTACAGAGAAACAGTAAAAAACTGAGAACATGTCACTGATCAGAATTTCAATGGACACACTTACAACACCTCAATAAATAATCAAAATCTTGAGCTAAAAAATTCCAAATCATGCAAGCTCAAACCTTACAGAAACTACACGTGCAAGGCTAAAACTTTCATGTTGATTGATTTCACATTCGAACACCTTTGGTACACCAAAGCAGGACAACCATTTACACTTCAAAAACAGCTACGGTTTTATAAAACTAAACATACTACCACTTTGTAAAAATCATATAAAATCCATATAAACTCCAAATGACATGATTACAAGACCAACAGGAAGCAAAAGAGTAATGCTACAACTTTTATGAAGACATGTATGGTAAATAAGGGCATTTGATCATAGTTTATGCATAAAACATTTGAAACATGGTTGAAGTCCGAGAACATGATTATACAACTTATAGGGCCTCAGAAAAATTGGATTATCTCATGCTTCAGACATGCTTTTGGCTTGACTAACAAGAAGCTAACACATAAAGCGATATATCTCATGAAGACCATGTTCGCATATGAGCACATTCAGGGATCGAAAACAGACGAAACATTTTATACGACATGCTGTCGGGTTTTCAGAAAAGTGTTTGAACGAGACCGAAGCATTAGCCCTGTCTCTATCCTTGGCTGGTTCGACGGGTCAACTTCAAACCCACCTCGCTCCTCGACTAGCTTGCTTACTTGCTTTCTTTTTTTAAAAAAATAAACCATATCTCCATAACTTAGATCAGATTTACAAAATTTCGAAACTCGCTGAAGAAAAAAAAAAACATGCTATATTTCTCAAGAAGAATTCAACTCCAAAAACCACAGTCTTGGAAGCATACTGGTCATGATACAAAGGTACGGAAAACAATGAATTTGCATGCTAAACACATCGAGACTTAATCATATTTAAATGATCATAGCATCTTAATCCAATCCACTAGGCACGAATATCAGCAAATAATCCACACATATTCGTACCTTAACCCAACAGCGTGCCTCACATTCACGGCACAGAATGTTCACACGTTGTCTATTTGGTCCACTCGTTCCTTGGACGATATCGCAGTCTTCTATATCAGCCTTCATGACTTCTGCTCAACTTAATGCACAAGACTTAACCACTATCGCTTCTGTAATACCCCATTCGATTGTGGATTTTTGGAGTTATTATTTATTTTTCCTGATTATTATTTGTCCTCTTTATTACTATTATCATTATTATTATTATTATTATTATTATTATTATTATTATTATTATTATTATTATTATTATTATTATTATTATTATTATTATTCGTATTTGCTAATGTGATTATTGCTATTATTATTACTCCATATTTATTTGTTGAATTGCTTTTAAATGTTTATTATTATTATTAAATAAATATTATTATTTAATTAAATGTCTAAATTGGCTAATTGTTTATATGTGTATTATTATTAAAAAATAAAATGTGTTTATTTGAGTATTAGTATTAATATTAAATGTGTGTTATATATATATATATAATGTCGGTTGATTTATTTTAATTATT